CTGGAAAAAACATTGAATGAAAGAAATTTGGAAAGACAAAAAGGAGAAGGGCGGAAAGAGAGGGACCAAACAAAAAGAAGATGAAAGGAACCGACAAAAGAACAGAGAGACAAGGGGAGAGCAAAAAAAAAAAAAAAAACAACGAAATAACAATATTTGATATATTGAAAAGGCAAAGAGAAAAGAATATTTACTAATTTCAGAGAAAAGGGGTACGATGTATTAAGCAAAAAAAAAAATAGAGAGGGAGTGAGTGAGAGAAAGTGTGAGAGAGAGAGTGAGAAAGTGAGTAAGAGAGAGTAATGAAGAGAAATGCAAAAAAAATAATGCGTGACTGGCGGAAGTTTTTTTTTACGTCAATTGACGTTTAGGTCAGCATGAACATATGTCGTCAGGCGAGCAGACGGAAATTTTGGGTGTCATTATCCCCCCCCCACGCCTGTGGGGTGTCACCAAGCACGAGCACTCTGGTTACAGAGACAGAGCACATACATAAACCTCCCCCCCACAAACACAGAGTAATAACATAATTATCCATATACATCAGATTCCATCTTGCACATTTACAAACTTACCATTCAATCGTGCATTGAATACTGTTGCCATATCTTGCGCTCTTGCTATTCATCTCGAGGTTCTCGACAAAATCCAAAGAAGGATCTGCAATGTAGTTGGTCCTGATCTGGCATATCGACTTCAGTCACTTTCTCAGAGACGTGATATGGCTTCCCTCTGTCTTTTCTACAAATATTTTCATGGCAACTGCTCTGACGAGCTTTTTTTTCCCCTGGTGTCCCGACTACATGAATTTAAGCGGGCTACTAGATTGGCATCTAGGTCTCACTCTTTTACTGTTGAAATAGTCAAATAACCGTCACTTCTACGCCAACAGCTTCTTTTCTCACACTTCCCAACAGTGAAACTCCCTTCCATTTACTTGCTTCCCTGAAAACTACAGTCTTCAAAAATTTAAATACATCAATCACAATCTTTGTCTTCTTGAACTCCGTTTATCTTTTATCCTTTCCTCACCTCCCATACCCAGTGTTTTTCTTTCACTTTCACTCCCTGTAACCCTCTGCGTACTAGTGGCATTACTGCCTTGCTTAGTTTAAGGTGAAATGATTAAAAAGATAAAAACACTATTCTATCGGTAATGCTTACCTTAATTTCTAATAGCTGATAATACCTTTTCTTTGATTTTCAATGCAAATATATACTAAAACCAATCTATGTGCCGTGTTCCTTTAGAATTTGGTCGATCATAGCTCTTCACAACTTCCTATCATTTGTAATTCTTAGTAAGGTTTGTTTTTTTGCTATCTCTCCTAATCTCTGTTCTGTTAACTATTTGGCAGAAGCTCTTTAGATAAAGCATTCGCTACTTTCCTCTCTGTCTCTTGACATCAATATATCATGTGAGTGTTAAATTCTCCAAGCCCACTTTCCTCATTAATTACCTAAGAAATTTCAATTATCTCTTCCTGATTCTATGTCTAAGTGTCATTTTTGTATCCATTTTCGCTAAAAACGTTCTTGTTACTGGATGTTACATATGCATGGTATTCTCAGCATCTTTCTGTAGAACCACATTTCTTTTGTCTCTAGTCTCTTCTTCATCTGTGAGGAGATTGTATTTACATTATACGTAAAATATCGCTATCCTTTCAGCAACGTCTGCCTTTATTCCTGATCACTGTTCATCAAATTCTTCCTGATTTTCAATGCATTTATTTTGAAAATTGCTATAATGCTCGTAGAAGCTCGTAGTTTTGGTTAATAATAATCCAAGAAAAACACTGGAACAAAAGATTAGTGAAGAAACTTTTTAATAATATGGGTTAATAATTGGTTTAGCCGAATATATATATATATATGTGTGTGTGACCCTCATGCGTCGAACAGAGAGACAAGGGGAGAGCAATAAAGTTAAAGATAACTTAAATTCTTACCAATTTAATGTATCCAAAGGTCGGTCCTCTTTCTATGCAAGACCTCCAGTTCTAAGATACACTTTGAATATGTATTTCCTTCTTTTGGACTCCATTTCCAAAACTTCCCTTGGATTTTTTTTCTTTTACTTACACGGTGTTTTCGAGTATTTATAACTGGAGTTGACAAGTCAAACGTATCATACAGTACTTCCATAGGTAAATCTATTTGTTGGGTTTTAATTTCCTTAGCACATCTTGGTTTTAATTGGTTTAAATGCCTTTTATGTCGCCAATTTTGACTATGGGATTGTTATACCATAATGTCTATTCTATTGTAATAGACTCTCCCACAGATAATAAGTAGTAGTAGCAGTGGCCAGTTGGGCTCAGTGGTGTTGAGTGAGTCAGTCGATGTCGGACATTGAAGTATCAACCATCACAACTAGATTGCTGCGTCATTAACTCTTATTTCAAGTTCCTAACGTTTTTGTACGTCGAACCTAATTTAGGACGACTTATTGAAATACAACCCTCCACTGTGAAAAGTACTCTACAACAGCGATTTACAATTTCACCATCTTCCCAACTTTCTTTTCCTGCCTTGTAAAACACGAAAAAAATCTTATCTCCAACTTTGAAAGATTTTATAATTAATTTCGTACTATGGCAACATTTATTTTTCTTCCAGGTCATAATTTATCAAATACCGATTTAATTTTCCTAGAAAACATTAGTTCCACTGGCGTCATCTTCGGTGCATTATTAGTGGTAGGGATCAGCCTATAAATTCTTGAAAGCAGTTGAATGCCATTTTGAGCGTATCAAAAAAAAACGTTCAGACTGACCATTTGATCTTGGCTGTTATGGCGGTGTTCTTGAATGTTCAACTTCATAGTATTTGTAAAAGTCGCTCGAAGTAAATTCCCTGTCATTATCAGATATTATAGTATCTGGAATTCCAAATTTCGAAAGCAGTTCATGAAGAAAAATTACAGTTACTGTGAAAGTAGCTCTTCTACACTTAAATACTTCAAACTTTTTTTTGAAAAACTCTCGACGACGCGTAATCGACATGCAACCAAGACCGTGGTTTACCAGTATTAGGCCAAAGTTAATAATTTACAGGGTGGGAAAGCAAAATTTACAATATTTTGAGACAGGAATTGAAAGAACTTAAATGGCCAATTAGTTCATTGAAACTTGAAAGAAATTTATTTTCCACAAAAGATTTACATACTAGAAACTTTTTTTATTCTATGTCTCCTTTTTTCTCAATAACTGTTGCCACACGCTTCCCGAAACTTATTCATATGGGTAAAGGTTTCTGAAAAGATATAAATAATAAATATGGTTGTGGCATCAGTATATTGTAGGTTAAAAAAAAAAACACTGGCGTTCATATTGCAACTTTGTTATCATTGCTTTTCTCTGGCACTCCTTATTACTGGTTCCCATATTGTATTTATTTCCATGCTTGGTCGGCTCAGGAGATTTTTGTGGCCTAGCATATGTGCTGTACGCTCCGGCCTTCTTCAGGTGGTTGGAATTTCGAACTGAACCCTTTATTTCGATCGCTGGGGTTGCAATTTTTTGCTGTTATCATTGCATGTCTTTACCAGAGTTCATATTGCAACTTTGTTATCATTGCTTTTCTCTGGCACTCCTTATTACTGGTTCCCATATTGTATTTATTTCTATGCTTGGTCGGCTCAGGAGATTTTTGTGGCCTAGCATATGTGCTGATTCCTTAAGTTTACGAATTTTCCAATGGTGTTCCCTGTCTATGATCTCAACATGATCCCAATATGAACTCTGGTAAAGACATGGAATGATAACAGCAAAAAATTGCAATATGAGCACTGGTAAAAATGATGCTGAAAACATTAGGTTTATAATACTCAGAAGTTCATACCCAGATGTCCTCAAGGACACATGGCACAGTGGATAAAGGCGTTGATTAGATCCAGTGACAGACCCAAAGAAGGTGAGTTCATTTCCTGGTTAAGGCAGTGGAGAACTTTCAGAGGGAAAATTAGCAGGAGATAACTGATAACTGACATCCATCAAACATGGCACGTGGAATTAGAACAGCCTACCCCAGCGATCGAAATAAAGGGTTCAGTTCGAAATTCCAACCACCTGAAGAAGGCCGGAGCGTACAACGGCCGAAACGTTGTGACAAATATGGCGACAAAGATGAGGACAATAGTCCGACTAATGTAAATATTGTACATAATACCTCATCTCAGAAATATAGACAAACTCTAAACTTTCTTTGTAAATTTTGCTTCCCCACCCTGTACAAGTGATAATTTTGCTGCTAGATCACAATCTCTGCATGATTTAACCAAATGTTCAATATCCTGGTCTATTTAGGCTAACATACGTAACTTCTCATGAGGGATTTCATTCTTGACATCCCACAATGTGCAACATGAAAATGCTTTAAAACAATTTTTTGAAAAGAAGCAGCAATTGCTACTCTTTCAACATACATCAGAACTTCCTCACAGATGGAAAAAGGCTTATTATTTTTAGTAACACCTGGTTTATTTTTTCTTTCTTTCCGTCTCACTTTTACGTCATTCATCCTTTTCAAAACATAGTCATCCATCTTGGATTGTATTTTAATTTCGTCCAAAATCACAAAACACTTTTTACAACGTTTCGGCCGTTGTACGCCCCGGCCTTCTTCAAGTGGTTGGAATGTCGAACTGAACCCTTTATGAATACAATATGGGAACCAGTAATAAGAAGTGCCAGAGAAAAGCGATAATAACAACAAAAAATGCAATATGAGCTCTGGTAAAAACATGGAATGATAACAGCAAAAATTGCAATATGAACACTGGTAAAAAACGGTTACTGAAGGTTTATAATACCCAGAAATTTATACACAGATGTTCTCAAGGACGCATGGCACAGTGGGTAAAGGCGTTAGTTAGATCCAGTGACAGGACCCAAAGAGTTATGAGTTCAATAGCTGGTTAAGACGGTGGAGAACTTGGAGAGGGGAATTGACATCCATTAGACATGGCACGTGGAACAAGAACAGTCTACCCCAAT